GATAGGTTGAAAAGTTTCTTCTATATGTACGAAACAAAAAAGAACGATGAGTAACTGCCCGACAGCCTCCCTTCCACTATGATCTGTAGTTCTGTAGAATGGTCCACTAATTCTCCATCACACTTTTAACAATTAGATCCCTCGTGAATATGTAATACCTATTAATTTGCTCTCAGGAAAATTTCGAGAGATTAACTGCGAAGGTATTTATCATGAAAAAAACTAATTGAGATGAAATTGATAAGAAGCACAAGTTATATAATAATGAAATGATGAGAAGTTTATATTATATGGCTGTATTTATCGACTTAAATCTTATAAAGAAGATAATTTCCGAGGTAAAGTGACCGACGCTGCGAACATCTCGTCATGCAGTATTTATGAATAAAATCCGGGAAGCGCACAGCGGCCGCAACAAAAGGGACGGAAGCGTCGCTTTTCTTCGGGAAAGCAGGACACCCATTGGGATTCATCCATCACCGGCGATATAATTGAGAAAGCAGATCGCCTGCATTCAAGATTTACATTTTCAGCACCGTCGCTGAAACTCAATTTATACATTTATCTGCGCGTCCCTCGGCTGGATGGACAAGCGAGGTAATACACTTCCGAGTCATTAACGGGAGTCTTACTTTGTGTCCTGCTGATGTTGTGAATTTTTTCATAAATTGTTCGGCTACACCGTTTCATCCAAATTGTCACGCTTATCAGCTTACATTTTGTGCGGTCTACAAGATGGAAATGCGTGATATTTTTGAAACCAAACTGATGTGACTCTATTAACGATGTTATCATGTATGACGTTAATCCGCGCGGGAATAACCACCTGGATATGTTTATATCCTAGTGGCGAAAAAATATGAATTATTGTAAAATATTATTTTGTATGAATATTGTATATATAATTGTATAATATATTTTCTGTCTTTTTTAATAACTATTTTTACAAACTTTTAAATATGCAATTCCATCGAAAATTCGCAATAAAAAGCTTTATTTTAATTAAAATCTTTATTTTTAAAAATATTGTTATATATACATATAAGTTACACTGAAAAAGTAAATTTTAATAAATATTTATTTGAATAGTTCTAAGTAAATATTTTATTACTAAATACTAAATAATGTAAACATATATT